TTTTAAATAAATACAATACAAAATTAATACAATACATTGTGGCCAGCCGTCTTTGATGGCACGGTATGGTAGGGGATAGGTACGGGACAGGTACGATCGAGGGTAATACAACACACTTCGAGGATCACGCTCCGTTCGCCGCCGTCACATCAACCTTGTGCCTGTCGACCTCGTCCAGGCTGAGGCTCGCCTTGCTACGCATTAGACTGTCTTCACAGCCATTTTAGCTTCCTCCTTATTGGACTGTTTTCACAGCCATTGTAGCTTCCTCCGTATAAGACTGTTTTCACAGCCATTAAATTTTCAGCTCATTTTCTCTCGGTACTAAGCTGTTGACCTTGCACTTGTGTTTATTTTGCCCGTACAAGAGGCTTGGAACCAGGAAAAAAAAAATACAACACCGTCTCCCGTGCCGTACCGTACCATCAAACACAGCTGCCCGCAATATTCAAATAGGGCTTTCAAACGCAAGGTAATAACGTGAAGCAACTTGGAAGAACGGGTATGAATGCCTGAAAAAAATAGGAGAATTGAAAAATTTATAACATCCTATGCTTTTTTGCCGTCCGATACGGATAGTGCCAGGCGTGACACAAACAAACAAACAAACACACACAAATACCAAACGAGAAACGGAGCGTCTCTGTAAGTTTGTATCCCTGGTGATGTTTGTGCCTGGAGAGCACTATATAAGTGGTGCTCTTCAGGCACAATCTTCCTCAGCCTACTCAAGCTCAACTGATGAGGGGTGAATTCCCCGAAACACTGTGTATTGAGCAGGGAGTGGTGCTTTCTTGCAGGTTTGCCGAGTCGAAGGTTCGATGGACTTCTCGTGTGCTCTGGATGGCAGTCGTGAGTCAGTCAAGTGTCAAGTAAAGTCGGCGGAATAGCGCGAGCTCCGGTGTGGGGAGCAAACCCTTTCTTACAAATTATCGCCGAAGTCGCAACCACTACTTCGTACTGTTGTGCCCAGCGCGGGCTTGCGACTAGTTGGTTTGGAGGTGACAGCGTTGCGAATGACCAAGGGTCCTCGACGTCTGTCTCACCGTCCAGGAGCGACACTGACTCACGCTGCTATCTGGTGTTCACGAGGTATTTGTCGCGCTGGAAACGGAGCGTCGCTGTAAGTTTGTATCCCTGGTGATGTTTGTGCCTGGAGAGCACTATATAAGTGGTGCTCTTCAGGCACAATCTTCCTCAGCCTACTCAAGCTCAACTGATGAGGGGTGAATTCCCCGAAACACTGTGTATTGAGCAGGAAGTGGTGCTTTCTTGCAGGTTTGCCGAGTCGAAGGTTCGATGGACTTCTCGTGTGCTCTGGATGGCAGTCGTGAGTCAGTCAAGTGTCAAGTAAAGTCGGCGGAATAGCGCGAGCTCCGGTGTGGGGAGCAAACCCTTTCTTACTTATATTGTAAATCAACACATTTTGGCCGATGAGAAATAGAAACCTCTCGATTAGAGAGGTTAAGATGCACGTTATTTCCGACGTGACGCGCAGTTTCACGTCAAATTTGAAATCGATCGGTATTTTTGCTCTCACATGCATCCATTGCTCAATCATGCATCATTTGCCTATATGACAAACGTTGGCCTGCGTTTACTTTGGCCGGTTGGTACCAAGCGGCGAAATCAGCGAAATTAAATCGCCAGCGAACATTAGTTGATTTTAATACAGGAATCGGATTTTCTGGCCTTTTTGTAGTAATACATGTACATTGACCTGTTGAGCCAATGACGACGCCGAATGCATGGTTGCCTGTGGAGCACATTACATAACTTTACAGTCTCCTAAAATACGTATCCTGTCCGACGGCAAAAGAGGCTGCAGATTTAGTTTTTCTGCGCGTCGACGGGATGTCTGCGACGCGAAAGTTCAGCTCGCGTTATTTGGCTCGCACGTCGAAAAAATCAACGCGGGTGACCTGCTGCTCACGTCGAAATTTGGACATTACATAACTTTACAGTCTCCTATATAAATACGTATCCTGTTCGACGGCAAAAGAGGCTGCAGATTTAGTTTTTCTGCGGGTCGACGGGATGTCTGTCCTGACGTTTACTGGGACCGGCTTAGACTCTGCCGATCACGGGCGTTCTGGACTCGACGGGATGTCTGTCCTGACGTTTCCTGGGACCGGCTTAGACTCTGCCGATCACGGGCGTTCTGGAATCAACGGGATGTCTGTCCTGACGTTGCCTGGTACCGCCGGACTCTACCGATCACGGACGTTCTGGAGTCGACGGGATCTCTCTTCCGACGTTTCCTGTGACCGGCACTGAATCGCTCATTCACGCTTATTTTGGAGACGACGGGATCTCTCTTCCAAAGTATGTTTATGCTGACGCATCCTATCACCTAATAGGGCTTGGCGGATAATGCCGGCAGAATTTTCGGCAGAAAACGCCTGTTTGGGGGGTCGAGCATATTTCGGCAGAACGGGGGCTGAAAAAGCATTCTCTGCCATGTCAAATGACAGTTACCACGGAATTGGCGTGCGACGTTCTGCTTTTGCAGCAAATTTGCCGCGTTCTTCGACACGCAGTCCATCCATCCACCAAATGTGGCCGGAACTGTTACTTTGCGGAAGGTAGCAGCCTTGAATGGCAGGCCAGTGGCAGAAGTCTACGAGTCGTAGATCTACATAATATGGCCCAGTTGCAGCGATTTTCGACCTTCGGTGAAAAAGCCCGCTGTGTGAAAAGATTCAAATCAAATCATCTTTTGCTGCGCAAGCCGGGCCGCGGACGGGTATTCCGTGGATCACGACACCAGTGAAGTCAGACTTGAAAATGTTCGCAAAACAAGCATTTTGCAACGAAGGTCGAAAATCGCTGCAACTGGGCCATATTATGTAGTGTGGCTAGCCTTCATCTGAAGTGCGCCTGCGCCGGCCACATGTGTTCTTTTTCATGCCTTGTCTAGTATTTCACATGACTCATCTTTTTAGATCCTGAACCCAATAATTTATTATGTGTGCCAAGTGTATTTTTACATAACTGGATTTCAGCAGAAATTTCAGCAGAAAATGCACTTTCATGAGCAGAATATTGAGCAGACCGAAAAGCAGAATGAGGGATTTCGGCGAGCATTATCCGCCTAGCCCTATCACCTAATCGGCGTCTATTCTAATTTAATTTCCTCCTCGTCTCCCTATTTCTTTCCAAATCCCACTCTACATCAGGGAGTCGTATGCATAATACGACGAATATTGGTACGGTACGGGACAGATAAAGGAGCCCGCAAATATTGTAATATTGTAAACAGCTGTTATGTACAATCCTGTAGAGCCTTTGTAGTCACAGATACGGGACAGATACGGGACAGATACGGGATAGCGCCAGGCGTGACACAAACAAACAAACAAACAAACAAACAAACAAACAAACACACAAAAATACCAAATTAAAGCTGTGTGGACCCTGGCTAGCGCCAGACGTTTCTGAAGTAACGTCTTCTGCATAGCTACGGGAATTAAAGCTGTGTGGACCCTGGCTAGCGCCAGACGTTACTGAAGTAACGTCTTCTGCATAGCTACGGGAATAATATATACATACACACAAAAGGCGTATACACGTACATACATTCACGTACATAGATATAGAAACAAAACATTCATGCATGGTACATAATCGGCATTCTGTGGGTGTATGAAAGAAACATGGAGGATATTGGATATATGCATTTATCAAGTACCGTTATTGATAGACTTGTTTTCAAGTATTCAAACAACCCTGCCCCCCCCCCTCTCCCCACCCTTCATTTCCCTCAGGTCAATCACAACCTCTCACTTTTATTGTGGTTTCAGAATGCGGTCTACTGTACAAACAACAGACAAAAACGAATTCAGACTAAGCAATCATCACCTCCAAAAACAATAACAACAATAAATTTCAACCAATCAGACAGAAAACAAATACCATACATAATCACATGACTATGATGAGAGACGTACATTATATAACTGCGTAAGATGGGTTTCTAATAGTTTTAAATCTTTACAGTTTATTCCAGCCAGGAAATATATTCATGCAGCAACCAATTTCCCGCTTAAAATACATGACAAGACGGTATTACTTTAAGGTTTGCATGTATAACAGGAGAAACAGGTGCAGGGGAGGAGAGGAGGACAATGACCAAAGACAGGTGCAGGGGAGGAGAGGAGGACAATGACCAAAGACTGCTGGACAAATTGAAATTCTCAGGGAGAAGGTAATTTGCAGTGACGCTCTCCAAGAACCAAAGGCCAACAGGCAAACTCTTTTCTATTCAAGGAGACTCTTTGAACACTATAATTATGGTGAGCAAGTCACGAGTTAGTTTTCACTTATGGTATAAATTGCAGGGGTGTGTATTTTTCTGGCCTTTACAAACTGAAAATCTACATCCACTGTGATTGAGTGGAAACTGGCAAGGTATGGAATGTGATGTGACTTCAATTATTTTGACATTCATCTCGGTGACCTGCATGCAGGAGTTTGAACTGAGCCAGATGGAAACATCAGGTCTCCGGCCTCTTCTATTAATTTACTTCTTGCCATAGTACTGATCAGCAACCTGCATACTAGTATTGGCCTTCTCAGCCATGACCTTAAATCGTTATTTGTGGTGTAAGAGTTAATCCAGTTTGGAAAAAAAGAGTACTGAGCAGCCAGACGTCATACACTTGAATGAGGTTAGTTCGTATTTGAAGTGAGTGTACATGTGTAGGCGAGCATTCGATGAATTAGTTGAATTGTTGAGCCTTTCTCGCATCCGGTGATAGATCAGGGATATGGACTTTAGACAGCGTGTCTTTTGTTCCTTGTATGGAAGTCTAAATCGGATTGACGACTATATGTTTTGCCACAGCCAGGATAATTGCATTGGAAGTGGAGTGTGTGATAACCAATGTGCCGTAAAAGCTCATATCTAGTCACGTATTGCCTTCTATCACACCCGTCCCAGTAGCACGTATAGTTGCTGCTTACAGATGTTCCTACGTGTTCCCTTTTGACGTGATCTCTTAGGTCTCCTGCAGTCCGGCAGCGCATGCCACACACTAAACCCTCACCATTGCTCAAAAGCCACTTACACTTATGATTTTGATGGGGATGTGCAGTCGGGTACGGATGAACGGTCTGGGTAGGCTGGACGGTCGGGGTAGGTAGCGCAGTCCGTGTCGGCTGTACAGTCAGGGTAGGCTTTGCAGTCTGGGTAAGGTGTGCCGTCTTTGTAGGCTGTGCAGTCAGGGTAAGCTTTGCAGTCTGGGTAGGCTGTGCAGTCTGGGTAGGCTGTGCAGTCTGGGTAGGCTGTGCAGTCTGGGTAGGCTGTGCAGTATGGGTAGGCTGTGCCGTCTGGGTAGGCTGTGCAGTCTGGGTAGGCTGTGCAGTCTGGGTAGGCTGTGCAGTCTGGGTAGGCTTTGCAGTCTGGGTAGGCTGTGCAGTCTGGGTAGGCTGTGGAGTCTGGGTAGGCTGTGCAGTCTGGGAGGTGTGGTCAGGCTGCACTGGTTGTAAACACCTGACCCGAGGGGGAAGCTGGAGCATTGGAGCAGGCTGAACGGTCTGGGCAGGCTGGACTGTCTGGGCAGGCTGGACGATCTGCACATGAGGTGCAGTGTGGGCAGGCTGTAGTGTCTGAACAGGTTGTGGTAGCTGAAAATATGGCACCGAAGTGGGAAAGAGACCCACCGGAACAGGCTGACTGATCTGGGTACTCTGACCGGGCTGGATTTGCTGGAAATGCGGGACGACAGGATTAAACGGGACGACCTGGGTTGGCTGGACGAGCTGATCAGGCTGGACGACCTGGGGAGGTAGAACAATCTGGCCAGGCTGGACGATCTGCTCAGGCTGGACGATCTGCTCAGGCTGGACGATCTGCTCAGGCTGGACGATCTGCTCAGGCTGGACGATCTGCTCAGGCTGGACGATCTGCTCAGGCTTGACGATCTGCTCAGGCTGGACGATCTGCTCAGGCTGGACGATCTGCTCAGGCTGGACGATCTGCTCAGGCTGGACGATCTGCTCAGGCTGGACGATCTGGGCATGTAGACCAATCTGGCCAGGCTGGACGATCTGGGGAGGCTGTATTGCAGGCATAAACTGTGCGGTCTCGGTAGGCTGATTGATCTGAGCACGCTGAACTATCTGGCTAGGTTGGATGATTGTGGATGGCTGCGGCGTCTGTAGACGCTGGACAATCTGGACTTTTTGCGACACGGATGCCCCAGTGTTACAGACTGGCGATTCTGACCAATCCTCGGATGACGACATCCCTTAAAAATAGGGTGGAGAACCGTTGTGCAAATGTTACACTTCTCTATTGTGGCATGAGCTTGGCATCGCTTTGAAAAGAGCGTTACAGTTCTGTTCAGCCGTAATGTCAGCCGATAAAATTGATATACTGGATTTTTGAGCGAACATCAATTCCTGGTCTACAATAACGACTATCCCTCATGGAGGGTCAACAGTCAAAATAATGTCACATAAATGTCCAAAGTCCTTCGAGCAGCTACAACAAAGCAAAAGGTATTTTGAAAAGGTCGGCTCGGGGATAAATCTCCATATAACCGAACACATTGACCGCACAATGCGTAGTGTGAGCTCCACGTAAGTGAAGAATGTGATAGAAAAACGAGTTTCCAGCGCCAATTCTAGCAATCCAAACTTTGGCTGACTTGCTCTATTGACGACCTCCCTTGACATCGGGCAACAGAAGCAGGCTGTACTTGATAATTTCCCCCTTTCCTGCAAGGTTTGTTACGTTACGAAATATTGATACCGAGATAAGCGAAACCTCGATCCAGCTTTGGAAGTTACCAGTATTCGGCTGCCATCGCCTCCCTGCTACCTCTTGCTGGTGTTAGCACCTTGATTGTTGTTCGTCTGATGATTCATTCAGTTACTGAAACTCAGAGATACTGTTCATTCTCATGTCTGTGTACTCCCTTGCTTTCGGCACATTGAGCCCTCCACGGACGGTGGATGAAATTCACATCGTAAAACCCGTTGTTCTGTAATTGTAACAAGTAAACGAGTTCAATTAAAGTCGAATAAAGTGTTTATAAATTGCTGCAGTAAAGAAAATCTGTGACAATTTCATGTAGGAAGAAGACAGACCTCCGAGAAGGTGACTAAATACCACTCTTACTCCGAGTTTCACCGGAACATTCAACATCCTACAAGTGGTAAACCTGTCCAATCCGGCCTGGTTCAGATCGTAGAAGTTATACAACTCAGTTATGAAGTAGACGTTGTTAGAGGGATGCGTTTTCTGTTTCTGTAATCTAAACGGCGGTCGTGAGTCCCACAATCGAGAATTCAAGTCGGTAGAAAGAGCGCAAACTGCCACGTAGGGAGCAACACACAATTCCTTAAAGTATCGCCTTTGTCGCACCAACATCTTCTTCAAATTGTTGTCCCTAGCGCGGGCTTGCAAATTAGATAGTTTGAAGGCAACAACGTTGTGAATGGCCAACGGTCCTCAGCGTTTGTTCAGCACCTCCATGAGCAACACTAACTCACGTTCCTACCTGGTGTTCACGAGGAATTTGTCGCGCTGGCCACGGAGCGTCTCTGTACGTTTGTATCCTTGGTGATATTTGTGTCAGGCGATCACTATAATTATAAGTGGTTTTCTTCAGGCACATCCTTCCTCAGCCTACTCATGCTCAAGAGATGAGATGTGAATTACCCAGAACACTATGTATTGAGCAGGAGTTGAGCTTTCTTGCAGGTTTGCGGAAGGGAAGGTTTAATGAACTTCTCGCGTGCTCTGGATGGCAGTCGTGAGTCAGTCAAGTGAGAATTCAAGTCGGCAGGAATAGCACAAGGTCCCACGTAGGGAGCGACACACAATTCTGTTTTCTCTTCTATAGTGAAGAAAAAGTTACTCTTTAATGTCCACTATCACCACCAGTTACTTGACAATCAGCTCATGCGATAACATTGCACAAAATTGACCGGTAGTACTGACGTTCTGCAACTGACTGGATATACGCTCTAGCGCGTTTGGGTTGCGCACTACAACAGCCTGCCAACTTGGAATGTTCTAAGTTCTATATAAACATACTTCGAAGTACGAGGGGAAGGTGAGCGCAACCCAGACAAGTACGACCTGAAAGTCTCAGCTGTGAAGGACGTTGGCGAATGTTCATGTATGCCGATAACGAGACTGACAATAGCATTAGACAATGCGGTCAAACCACGATTCAAAGATGCTTAGCAATATACATGTAACACACAACTTGCGTGGCACAAAAGATGCAAAGATCAAATGAAGAGGAAGCTAAGCGAACATGAACCATGACAAACAAAACGTATAAGTTAAATAGTACTGTACCTAGGGTATGACAATTTATACGGACAATAGGCAGCAGTAACAAGCGCCAGATTCACACGACGATCGTTTTGCCGTCTAGATAAGGACGGCTAACCGGCTTTTTTTCCTTTTGTTTTCCGTTCTTTTGATGTTGCTGCCTTATGCCACGCATGACACCCCTACGACCACAGTGGTTGTGGGAGATACATACTTATACCTCATTCCATATTCACCCACATACAATTGGCCATCTACATAAGTGGTGAATATTGCTGAATATTCACCGCTTATATTCACCACTTATCTTATATTCAACACTTATCTTATATTCACCACTTATCTTATATTTGGAAGAGAAAAAGACATATGGATACGAGTTAAGAGTAACTCTCCATCACTGTAACATGATACTATATACAGTCAGAAAGTGCAATAACTAGGCACAAAACTGACAGAGTGCTGAAACATTCGACGTCCTGACACCTTGCTTCAACACATCTCCGTATATAGTATCATGATACAGTGATGGAGAGTTACTCTTAACTCGTATCCATATGTCTTTTTCTCTTCCACATTTATCTTATATTCACCACTTATCTTATAATCACCACTTACCTCATATTCACCCCTTACCTCATATTACCACTTACCTCATATTCACCACTTACCTCATATTCACCACTTACCTTATATTCACCACTTACCTCATATTCACCACTTACCTCATATTCACCACTTACCTTATATTCACCACTTACCTCATATTCACCACTTACCTCATAATCACCACTTACCGTATTTTTCCGGTTGTAAGTCGACCTTTTGCAACTAAAAATAGAAGGAAGAAAGTGTGGGACTTACAACCGGGATTCGACTTATAACCGGGAACTATCAGTATCTTACAAAAAAATGACCTGTACTGCATGCACGAGTGCACCATGTGTACACATTTTGCCAGTTTATTGGTCTTTTTCAAGGATTGGGACGTTATACCCTCCAATAAGGAATGTTTACATGATTTGTTGATGTGTAAGTAGCAGGGAGTGGTTAGTAGTGCTTCTTTGGGTGAAAACTTTAAAACGTAGAATTGAGACCTCAGGATACGGGGGTCGACCTATAACCGGGGTCGACTTACAACCGGTAAAATACATAACCCCATAATCACCACTTACCTCATATTCACCACTTACCTCATATTCACCACTTACCTTATATTCGATACATACTGTAAGTGTAAAGAGAGCAGTACTCGGTACTGCGCTTGATTCCTCTTCAGTCAGCGCACCGGAGCTGCCGAGTGCCCTAGAAAATTTCTGCGCTAACTTCCGTAAACAGGACTTTTCTGAGTAGAAACGAAATTCCTTGCTTGCCATTGCCGCTGGATCCGCATGTGACCGAGTGCTGCCAAGTCATCAGCCAACAGTGAGCATCTTCACAGACGGAGCATTTCAGCGAGCAAACAAGGTTTTTGACGCTCAACATGTCAATGGCCCGATGATTGCGGATCAACCGGCAAGCCAGGAATTTCGTTTGTACTCAGAACAGCCCTGTTCGGACGTTAGACGTTAGCGAAGACTTTTCCTACAGTCCATTTCAAAACTATAAACGCGTACCTAGGCAAAAACCGTTATGCCAGCATCTATACCATAATTATAAAATCTGTGATCACTTTGTGCATATTTTTTTCCAAATTGGGCGTCTGTTATCCAATCATTTAGAAACTAACTATATGAAAGTAATTGTGGAGCGGTCCTGAGCAATATTCCGAAAACTATTCTCGAAAAGTTCCAGCCAAATTTGAAATATTTCAAAAACCCTACGCATCTATAGTTTTGAAATGGACTGTAGGGCACACAGCAGCTCCAAAGCGCTGCCTGAAAAGAAAAGAAGTGAGGGTAGAACCGCTTGGCTCGCTGTTTATAAACCGACGGGCGAATTAGCGCGATGATCGCGGATTGGTCAAATCTTCCCGTGAAACGAAACCTCTCTGGGATTGGCCAAATCTTCGCGCGAAATGAAACTTCTCTAATGATTGGCTCCCGCCACAACGCTGCACGAGCGTGTTCTTCATGGTGAATGGCACGAGCGCGTTCTCCAAGGCCGTCACCTCTCATGCCACATGCACCAGTATGTGTACACGATCGATTGAACAAGATTCTGAACACGCCGCCCTCCAATTCAAGCAAAGAACACGCCAGTCGGTTTACGACACTGAAGCAACAACGACTTCTGCGTACATGTACATGTATGACCAACAGTACTCGTTTGTTGGGTTTTAGGGACGAGAGGGTGAATATTGAGAGGTATAAATCTATTATTACCTTCAGCCTCGTGAATATGGGCGAATAGTCACTAGTTATTCGCCTCGGTTTGTATACTAGTGAATATTCGCCCATATTCACGAGGCTGAAGGTAATAATATATACATACACACAAAAGGCGTATACACGTACATACATACACGTACATAGATATGGAAACAAAACATTCATGCATGGTACATAATCGGCATTCTGTGAGTGTATGAAAGAAACATGGAGGGTATTGAATATATGCATTTATCAAGTACCGTTATTGATGGACTTGTTTTCAAGCATTCCAACCCCTGCCCCCCCCCCCCTCGCCCCCCCCCTCTCCCCACCCTTCATTTCCCTCAGGTCAATCACAACCTCTCACTTTTATTATGGTTTTAAAATGGGGTCTACTGTACAAACAACAGACAAAAACGAATTCAGACTAAGCAATCATCACCTACAAAAACAATAACAACAATAAATTTCAACCAATCAGACAGAAAACAAATACCATACATAATCACATGACTATGATGAGAGACGTACATTATATAACTGCGTAAGATGGGTTTCTAATAGTTTTAAATCTTTACAGTTTATTCCAGCCAGGAAATATATTCATGCAACAACCAATTTCCCGCTTAAAATAAAAGACAAGA